GGGGGGGGGGGGTTATGTAGAAAAAATACAGTCTTCTGTTGTCTATGAAATTAGAACAATTATCGTCGTTTTGTGCAAGGGTGGCGTAAGATTATGCCAAAATTCCATGTTTTCCGTCCCGTTTTTGCTCATTTCTCGGAGGCAAAATGAGCAAGAACGCTCATTTGTACATCATTGTAGACAGAAATAAATGACCCTTTTAGAAAGTGAATCATGGATGGGGAAATGTTAGCAGTTTTCTCAAAAAATGGTTGAATTCAAGAAGTTTTAGATTTGCGTGGTTTTTTTTTTAGTTGCAAAATCCACTTGAACATAACGCTGCTTTTTTTGAAGTTTCTCAAGAACCATTCGAGCCACAGAATTCGTTTTGGCATCGTTGGATAGAGAATTGAATAGTCGATTCAGTCGTAACAACGTAAGTGAGGAAATTCGAGTAGTTTTGACACAGAAAGCGAAATATGAATATCAAACACTTAGGTGCAAGATTATGCCAAAATTTAATGTTTTCCGTCCCGTCTTTGCTCATATCTCAGAGGCAAAATGAGCAAGAAAGCTCATTTGTACATCATTCTAGAGATAAATAAATGGCCTTTTTAGCAAGTGAACTATCGATAAGGAAATGTTGGCAGTTTTCTCAACAAATTCAAAAGTTTTAGTATTGCGTGGTTTTTTTTGTTGCAAAAAAAAAGTTGTGCCGGAGCCCGCCCCCTTCAAAGCCAAAATATTACCTACTTTTTGGAAGTCTTTATTTAGATACACGTGCTCAAGCTTCAGCTACATTAAGTTTGTGTGAAACGCATTCAATATAGAAATATAACAAAAAATGTGCAAAACAATCCTTCAATTCTTCAAATTTTCCATCCTGCTGATAACAAATACAATTTTGGGTGTTCAAACGCCAAATTTTCGTTCAGTTCATTTGCTGAAATCTGGCTACTGAAAGCCAGTTTGTGCAGATGGGTTGAAAGATTTGCTGAATTTTTTCAAGTGCACTTTCGACAGGTACAAACAAAAGGAATATTTGAAGGTGGCGTTTTCAAATTCGCTGCTCAGAAAGACTGAAATAATTTTGCAGACCACGTTCACAAATAGCATATTCTGGGGCCTGGGCAAACCTCAGAAATCCCAAACTAAACTTTCTAATCTTAGGGGTATAGAATGGTCAAGATAAATCTGACAAAAGGACCCAAAGGTCGAATGAAGAAAGCAAATTCACACCTTTTGTGCACGCCGTGGTTTGGGTCGGCTCCAATGATATTTTACCCCCCTGAGCTATTGTTTGATATCCTCTGAAGTATCGGAACTAAACTATCTATGTGAAAAATGCCCAAACAACCAAGCACAAGATGGCTTTTGGACTGTGCCTAACAAGGAAAAATGCATAATTCTGTATGACGAAGTAATTATGAACTGATGAACCACTTAATTATAGAAAACAATTATGACTTGGTTTCTTATGTAAGTAGGTACAGATCTAGATGCGCTAAACTCGGTCATTTTGTATCGGGGAATGTAAAATACCATGCGATTAGCACATGTCGAAACAGGTATCTAATTAAAGGAGATTTTAGGGGCAGTTTTATTCAAAATTTTTGTAGACCCTGGCCGTAAAGCTCGTGAATTGAAATGTTGTTTATTCGAAGAAACGTGCATTTATAAAGGCTTTCCAGCGAATGAATTTGCGCCAAAATCGTAGGCTTGAACAACAGGGTTTCGAAATAAACATTTTCAAACTTAGGAGTAAACAATATTCATTCCAGCATACTGGAAATTGCTTTAAATACTTTACTTTGCATGCTTGTATTGTTTTGCGTACATACCCTTTAAATTCTCGATTCTCAGGCAGCGGAGTTGATCCACGAACCACGAAGCTTTTCCAAAATCAGTTCCTTCCATAATGAAGCACTTTATTTCCACTTATAGTCTGTGAATTAGATGTAGCATAAACTTTGCACAACACTAGCGATTTGTTTAGGTCACACACGAAATCTGACCATAGATAAAGACAAGTAGAATCTGACTTTGTGTCTGACTTCAACTGAAATCCTAACCTGTATTTGGCTGTACTTATAGCCAACTCAAACCCATCGACGTTGAAAAGATGCCATCCTTCTGGGAAACCATCGAGCTATGCAAGAATAGTGTATGATCAAGAGTGAGAGAGCAACATTTTAGGAGAGAGACAGCGCTACTAGGGGTATTTAACTACTATAAATTAAGAAAATTTTTTGGAAAATCAACTGAAAAATGTGCATATTTTTAACCACTTCTACAAATGAAGGCATGAATCAAATATATTTTTTTAACCAATAAATTAAAAGGCTTTAGGCAATTATCTTTTTATTTTTTCGTAAAAAATAATTTATGCATTAATGCATTAAAATGGAAAACTATAAATCCATAGAAAAAAACAAAAGCCTCATTTTTCAGATTTATTTTTCGTTTATGAATGTGCACCTAATACCTATTTAAGTAATATTGGAAAATCATCGTTAAGTGCTTTAAAGGTTTAATGCTTAGATTTAATACGTTTTTAATGGGCGCAGGAAATAAATCTCTGTATTTCCGTTTCGTGTTTACTCTAATCTCTACACCCTTCTTGACAAATCCACTCATTAACTCAGAGTGAAACTCTGTTAAGGAAAAACCGGAGAATAAATTTTGAAGAAATCGACCAAAAATGATGTTTCCCACTCTGGATTCTAGTAAGTGCTACTTTTTAGCACTCTTTTGGACTTTGTCTGTAAATAAGTATAGGATTTTTTAAAATAAAATTTATTTTCAGATCAGCTTTTGCCTTGCATGTACCGGATAGCGCAGATGTTGGATTATTTCTGGCCCATAATTTATTTCACCACTTTTACTACTTTTCTGGGAATTATCGTGCAGACCGTTGAATTTATTACTGCATTCGACTCAGGCTTTTTCTTGCAATTCTCTGCATTTTATATAATTTCCATTTATGTAACAAGGAAATACTGTTTTTAAATAATCTCTCAGTAATGCAGCAAATTTTAGATAATTGTGATAACCGCTCTATACGCAGTTCTGATGCCAATAGTTGCTGAGCAAATCGCAAAATCTCAGCCATTTTTTGCCCTGGACATCACCCAGGCAAGTCATAAGGCCAAGGAACTGGTGCATGATAAAGTCAAAAGAATACACATAAAAATTTTTGCTTTTTGCTGCTTTTCTTTCGTTAAAGTTGGCCTAAATCTGTACTTTTGGAAAATTGATTCCTATAACAGCATATTGCTATGTCGCATGCTGCATCAGCAATGGCCAGAAGGTATATTAATAATTTAATTAATTAATTAATTCACTAGTTAATTGCATCCTTTTCAGCGCCTGTTGCAGCGAAATTGCTACAAGTGTGGGTCTCTGTGATATTTCTAGTGGGAACAGCCATATCAATAATAGTCCCAGTTCTAGTGATATGTGAACTTTTCCATGTTGCGATTCACCTAATCGTGTTGATTGACTACGTGAAAACCCGGAAAGTTAGATTCGACCATAAGTCCCCATGGGGGGCTCAGAAAAGCATTGGAAACCATATAAGAGCAATTGCTCTTAAGCATAAAGACATAAAAAGGTGCGTAGTTTAGGGTTAGCGAGGTTTGCATTGAAGCCAACTGGGTGGAAATGTGAATAATAATTGCTCCTGTAAAAATACATATACGTTTCTAAAATTGGCAAAAATGTTCCGAACTGAGTCTGCGATTTTTCAAATTCCGGATTCAGTTTTGCTCAGCAATTTTGCGTTTTCCCTTTCCAAAGCAGATATTTTCCAAACTAAGCGTAGCATGAGGCTAAAATTTTCTTGAAGAATCAGAAGAAACTCAAGAAAGAACTCAATCTGTGGGAGGCAAATGTTGTCCACATTTTAGCCAATTTTATTTTTAGTCCCAATTTTTATTTAGCATGAAGCATATAAGCGATTTCTTGTGGATGTTCAAACTTGAGATTCGATTCAGCTCGAGATCTGTGGATGGTGTGGGACAAGATTTTAAAGCTGAAATTTTCAGGATTGTTTCAAATATGGTCGAAATTTATGGGGGATAAGGGACGATTTATTGAGATTTAGCACGTAGGTACATGATATTTTTCACAAGCTTTCGAAGCTTGTGAAGATCGACTGACATGCACGTGTGAAATTATTTGGGATAACAAAAGCAAGAGAAAGGCCCGAACGGGTTTCAATTTTAAGTGGTCAATTTTCTGGTCAGAAAGTCCCGAGGCGATGACAAAGTTGATTTCAATCAAATGGGAAAATTGAGAAAAACCACCGATCTAAACTGAAGTTTTTTTGCAAAATTATGAATATTTTGGGGTTATTATAATTCAGTATGAATGAATTAGTAACTCTATTAATACGGGCCCGATTTGGATCATTGAAAATTCATTCTAAAGCGAGTGGTTTGGTCTAAAAATCGTATTTTGCAAACTTAAAATCACTAGAGAATCTTGGACGTCATCAGAGTTTGAAGGTCGAAAAGACGATTTTTCAAAAAAAGACAAATGTTATCAATTATTTCTTTGCGGATTTGAGGTCGATTTTCTTTTGGAAAAACAGCTTTTTGCATATGGAGATTTTCTGCGTAACTGTTAATATCGGGCCGATTTGAAAATTTTGAAATTTGTGGAAAAACGAACGATTTTGTATAAAAACTGTATCTCGGAAAATTGCAATCGGTTAAGGTCCAAAAGACGATTTCCCGAGCAAAATAATTTGAATTTCACCGCGATTAACTAATTTTCAAAATGGAACATCAGATTGCTCGCAAAGTGTATTCTCGACACATTCACTGTCTATAAGAAAATTTGTATTTGCAACAGAAATAGTTATTTCGGATCTGAAACTTCTACCGTGTTTTTCAATGAGTTCGATGCATTCCTCGCGTCCATGAGATGAAAATGGTGTGAAATTAAAGACATTTTGAGAATATTTTCATTTTTTCAAAAAATCGACCCCCACCCTTGAAAAAATTTCGGTCAAAAATCAAAATTTCAAGTGCTTGTTTCTTGAGCTCAATCGATTCCTTGCGACACAAGAAGGTCACAAATATGCATTTGTAAAGTGTTTGGGTCAATAATAAGGAAGAAATCGTCGGCTAAAGATCGTGAACCCTCAAAAAACGCTTAAAATGTGCCGAAAATATCTATTATTTCGGATCTGAAACTTCTACCGTGCTTTTCAATGAGTTCGATGCATTCCTCGCATCCGTGAACTCAAAATGATGTGAAATTTAAGACATGTTGTAAAAGTTTTAATTTTTTCAAAAAATCGACCCCCACCCTAGGAAAAATTTTGGTCAAAAATCAAAATTTCACGTGCGTGCTTCTTGAGATCAATCGATTCCTTTCGACGCAAGAAGGTTACAAATATGCATTTGTAAAGTGTTTGGGTCAATAAAAAGGAAGAAATCGTCGCCTAAAGATCGTGAACGCTCAAAAAACGCTTAAAATGTGCCGAAAATGCCTAATATTTCGGATTTGAAACTTCTACCATGTTTTTTAATGAGCTCGATTCATTCGTCGCGTCCCTGATGATTTTTCATTTGAGTTTAAGTAAAAAAAATGCATTTCCAGGCACCATCATGACTTATATTCCTCCAAGCAAACGATTCAATTAACATATTACTTGAGCGGATTTCTGATGGGGTTTATAGTAATTGTGACGCAATTCACGGTAAGAAACACACAATAAACAATAAACTAAAGTAGGAATTGAAGGTTTAAAACATGATTTAATCGTGTGGTTTCAGCCAACAGCAAACATTTTTCAAACCATCATTGATTGTCTCACATATGTCGTGTGCTCGTTTCTCATTGTGGATGCCAGCGAAGAATGCGACTCTTTGGTAAGTAATTTAGCAACAAATTGTGCGGTAAAGAAATTTATCTACTTTTTTGCACTTTTTTAACTGAGGAACAAACCTTTCCAGGGCGGCCAGTTTACAGCCGCAATTTACGATCTAAATTGGTACGATTGGTCTGCTGAGAACCAGAAGCTTTTGTTAATATTAATAACGCATTCGGCCAGAAATATACCAGTTACAATCCGGATGATGTATAAAGTCAATAGAGAGTTGCTGCTGAAGGTATTGTCTTTTCTCCGTTAAACACTCCAGCATTTTTTTGGCTTATTCAATATTAATCTTATTAAAGTGTCTTAATATCCACCTGAATATGGGAAATTTCTATTTTTAGATAGGTCGAGTTTTATACCCGGTAGCAAATTTACTGTATTCAATGAGGAATTGATGCCAGACACCCAAACAAACTATTTCCTTAATCTAACAGCACTTTACTATCAGAATCCGACACTTTATTTACACAGACTGGACGCCACGCACTGAACTAAATAGATAAGAATTTGTTGCTTTCTTCGATTTGAAAAGATTCTCGCAGTGTTAAACGGATAACTGTCCAAGTATTCAGGTCCAAAGTGGCCCAGGGAAGCGAAAATGTTTCTAAATTTCATATTTTTCGTCAATTTCTTCAACATTTTGCTTCAAGAGTGTGCGGCCGCAAGGATTTTAGTGTTCATCCCATTGCCGTTCTACAGCCACCAATCGGTGTACAAACCGCTATGGAACGAACTGGCCAACCGCGGGCATAAGATCACTTTGCTCACTCTAAACCCCATGCAACCCCATGAAAATATCACTCAAATTGACCTTAGTGCGGTTTACACGAGGCTGGAAAAGGCGAAATTTTTCGATGTTTTGAGCTCCGGCGAACAGAGCCTGGAAAATGTTCTCCATGTGTTCGACACGGTGCTTGAAGCAGCAGACGAAGAGCTGAGCCACCCGGAAGTTAAGGGCTTGATTGCCGGCAATCAGTCTTTTGATCTGGTGATAACCGAGTATTATCTAACTGTTGGAGCGGCGTTTGCCCACAAATTCCAATGCCCTTTCATCGGTAAGTCCTCAAACTACCCACAACTGGAAAGTTGCAAAAGCGATGTTTTTAGGGGTTGTTTCCATGGATGCTGCCTCAGATGTGCACAATATTATCGGAAACCCCACTCACCCTATTCTATATCCAGCTTTAGATCTGGGGTTTTCTGGAGAACTTAATTTGAAACTACGGCTGGGCCGCACCTTGTTTTACCTGGCGTGGAATGCGTATGTTACCTACTCAATCCGACCTAGAGAAAATGAGTTAATCCAGAAGCACTTTGGAAGCGAGTTTCCTCTGGTGGAAAACCTCAACAAAAAGGCGAGCTTGCTGTTTATTAATGTGAATCCGGTTTTTCACATACAGCGGCCTTTGAATGCCCAGACCATCAACGTCGGGGGCGGTTTACATATTCAACCGCCCAAAAGTTTACCTGAGGTAGGCTCAGTGGGATTTTTCAAGCCATGTATTTATATGAAGTTTTTCGAAGGATATTCAAGGATTCTTGGATGACGCCCAACACGGGGCGATATATTTCAGCTTGGGCAGCTCGATACGGAGCTCACAGCTGCCTGGCAGCACCAAATCAGCCATCATCCAGACCTTTGGACAACTTCCCTATAAATTTTTGTGGAAATATGAAAAAGAGCTAAACGACAGCATGGAGGTTCCCAAAAATGTCCACCTCTCCAACTGGCTGCCACAGCAGGATATTTTGAGTAACCCCACAGTGGACTGGTGATTTTTCCAGAGTTTTCAACGACTGTCTTATTTTAGGGCATAAAAACATCAAGCTGTTCATCACCCAAGGTGGGTTGCAATCGCTGGAAGAATCGCTCTTCATTGGGGTGCCAGTTTTGGTTCTACCCTTCTATGGGGACCAAATATCCAACGCTCAAATGGTGGTTGAACATGGATTTGGACTCGCTTTGGATCGTCGGAACGTAACAGTGCGAAATTTTATGAGCGCTATTTTGAAATTAATTACATCGACAAAGTAAGTGCAAGTTTTCAGTCTGGTGATAGCAATTGATTTTTAAAAATTTTGGAGTTTTTGCCAATTTGGATTCGACCCGTGTCTTCTCCACGTTAACAGACAGATTCAGAAAATCGTTAAGCAACAACTGGACCAAAGGGAGAAATTTCTTTTATATTAATCAATGGAAGACTTTCGTTTATGTGACTGACAACAACTGCGTTAAAGAAAGCGATTTTTTATGCAAAAATCGATAAAGGACACCTGACGTTGTATAGTCTGCAAGTGTTAAATTCATAGCGTATTTTTTGGAGTTTTCATGAATTTTTGGAATAGTCTTGAACTTTCCCGGCGTTCCGTTTACTTTGACAGGAATTTCAAAAAATTATCATGCAAAAACTAGATTAAAGAGATAAACATCTTCTAAAGGAATCAGTAGAAAACACCTCTCTTCATATGCCCTCAAAATTGCACATTTATTGCAGTTTTTGAAGGTTTTTCGAATTTTTCAGACGAAGATGAAATTTTCTATCGTCTCTTTTACGTTAACAGGCACCTCAAAATACCAGGATGCAGAAATTTTGCGATCGAGGAAGATGTGTTATACAGTATTAACTAGATGCAGCCAGAAAATTACAACTTCATAACGTTGTTTTGAGAGTTTTGGCAAATTTTTTAAATCTACCCGATGACTCCTTACGAACTCATTCAAAAAATTGTTATGCAAAAACCAGACCACATAGAGACATTCCTTCCATATAAATCAATAGAAAACACTTTAATTTTAGAAAAGTTATCGACTTTTTTAATATCGATCCGGTCTTTTTTCCGTTAACAGACACTTTCGAACAAACATTATGCAGAAACTGCACCAATCCAATAGAAGACACTTCACGCTAATTATTATTATATCACGCTATTAATTATAGAAGAAGACATAAATGCATAAAAAAATTGTGAGAGTGACGAATTTTTGAAATAGACTTATGCATGCATTATAGAATGCATTAATTAGCGTCTCTTTTACGTTAACGGATATTTAAAAATTAATTATGCAAAAACTTTATTAAAACAGGCGATTTTTTATGCAACAGTGAATAGCACACTCTACTTTATACGTCCAGAAAGCTACAATTTCATACCGATATTTTATCAGTTTTCGCGAGTTTTTGAATTCGAGCCGGTATCTTTTTTACGTTTGCTAACACATTCAATTTTTTTTATGCAAAAACTCGCCTAAGTAGAAAAACGCCGTTCAAAGCGATCAATAGAAAACACTTGACTTTGAAGGCCACGAATGTTGCAAAACTATAGGAATGTTTTTGGAGCTTTAACGAATTTTTTAAATCGAATCGGAATTTTCCGCGGTCTCCTGTACATTAACAGCTACTTTAAAAAAGTCATTATGCAAAAACTCGACTAAAGAAAATGATGATTTTTGTACGGTCATCGATAGAAGACAGTTCACATGACATAGTCTGAAAGCGGTAAATTTGTAGGAAATTTTTTGGGGTTTTGACGATTTTTTACATCGACTTAAAATTAATCGGCGTTTCTTTGACGTTAATCGATAATTTAGAAAATCACTCTGCAGAAACTATACTGACAAGAGCGATTCTTTGTACAGCAATCAGAAGAATACAGAGACTTGACGTTGAACTCCACCAATGTTGCTAAATTAAAGAGCTTTTGCAATTTTAACAAAGTTTTTACTGATGCAATTTATGGAATGCACTTAATAGAAATAACAAACAATTTCGAAAACTTTAGCACTTTTAATTTGAACTTTTTCTGTGTAGATACCGCAATACAGCCTTGAAATTGGGCAAGCAAATATCGGACCAACCGTGGACGCCACTGGAAAAGGCTGTTTGGTGGACGGAATTTGCCATCAGGAATCCAAAGGTTGATTTTTTGAAACATCCAATAGCTTCCACTCTGCCTTTGTATCAATATTATTTTTTGGACTTTCTTTTCGTTTTTCTCGCTTTATTTAGTGTCGTTTGTTGCGTCATTTTTTGTGGGTTTGTTGTTTACGTTCACCTTTTAGGTAGGTGTGGACGGACGAAGGTAAAAATGGACTGATGTTGGTAGTAAATAGGTTTTGTATTATTGTGCGGATTTTTGTAATTAAATTATATTGAAATTATCAAAAGCATTATGAGTTTGGTTGCTGATTTGGGGAGTTCTGATACGCGAGTGCAGCACAGGAACGCAGGAAATTGCAGTTCAAGGAATATCTATGAAAAATATGTGATTCCGTCCGACTCAACGGCAGGACTTTTCCAGCAGCAAACATAAAAAATTGCACAAAACTACCTTGTAATGCGTGTGGATCTGCAATTCAAATGAGTGGCAATTATCAATCTATTTCTACGCAATAAAAATTCAAGTCGTTGCTGCCAAAAATGCCAAAGAAACATCCCCAATTGTCTTGCAATCCTTGCACATTCAGTATTTATTCAACAAATCTTGCGGGAAATTGAGTGCAAAATGAGGCTTAAAAGCCGGATAAAAATGAAAATAAATAGGCAAATCAGACCGAAAACGTCCAGCATGTACGCCTTCCACAACGGCATGTCCAGTAAAGGGTTTCTAAAATGTTTAGCTCCTTTATGGCGCAAAACGTATTCTGTCCACCATGCAGCTGTTTCCACATTTGGCGCAATCGCATCTCGGAAAATATCACCAAATTCTTTAGCTTTGTCTAAATATCTATAAAAAAAATAGCTTAGTTGAAACCGAAAGGCTTCTTCAGATAACTGGTCAAAACTCACTTAAAAAGTCTATACCTACTTGAAATTGCTGATTACTTCCCCAACAGCCTCCCGCACAGTTTCCTCTGTAATGTTATGTCTATGTACTTTGAGGCCGAACCCAAGCTGAACCATGCGATCCACATTAGAGTGTTGATCGCCAAAGAAGGAAATTCCTATCATTGGCTTGTTGGCATTCAAGGACTCCTGCATAGATTGCAAACCGCCTTGCGTAATAAACAGCTTTATATTGGGATGAACTGCAAATTAGCGGGGACATTTTAAGGCAAACTTCCTCAATCAGAACGGAAACTTACGCAAAATATCCGGCTGAGAACTAAACCACTTCTGGGCTTTGATGTTCGCAGGCAAATCATCAAACTGCTCATCAGTTTTCCATAGAACTCGATGGGGCAACCCGGTGAAGGCCTTCAAGAGTTCGCTTTTGGCTGAGGCATTGAGATATCCGCTTTTCACGTTGGTTCCCAAGCTGAAATAGATTGCGCCTTCTTCAGCCTCATCCAGAAAACGTTGGATTTCCTTGAAAAACAAAATTCATTGAGAACTTTATCTAGGTAGGTGATCTGAACTCTATTGGAGAAGTTACCGGCGCTAAAGGTTTGCTTTCCCCAATATGCATCCCATTTCCCACAGTGATGGTGTTGGGCATCAGAGCTCTAATGGGTTGAAAAATCGGATTAGTGGCGACGAAAAGCATGCTCATGTTATTCTGAATCTCCGGGATTGTTGGCACATTTGCCCCAAAATACTGCTGAAGGATCCGCTGTTCTTTGGGAAAGGTGGTGAAATTGAGCAGAGCTCGATAAATCCAAATGTACAGGAAGCTCTTCAAACGGTCCCAAAATGTGTCCTGGACTTGCATGTTCGGGTCTGGAGTCACTAAGTGATGCACCAAATTGCCCGCAGTGTCGTGGTATTGAAGCGCACAATCCATGGAGCTCAATCCTGGAAAGTTCCTGGTTTATTGGGGGTTTGGGAGGGCCAGAGTGAGAAGCAACTGTACCGATGAAAGGAATTTGGTACCACCAACTAAAAACCATCATGGCTGGAAGTTGCGCTTCAACCATCAACAAATCATAGTGATTGTCCTTGTTGTGAATCAAATTCTGTCCTTCCGGACTCTGGAAGAACTTGTTGTTCGTTTCGTTGAAAGCGCGAACGAACGCTCGACCCATTTCAATAAAACTCTTTGAGTCGTTGCTGATTGTATCTGAAATTCATCCACACTAAGCAACATTTACTTTCAACACTCACTGATCATCTGCAGTACCGAAAACCTGGTGCTTCTCCATTATCTGGTATCCGTATCCAATATCGATTTCTTTCACCCCCTTCAGGCTCAGATCATCCATGGGATCTGTGGTGACCAAAGTGATGTTGTGACCTCTTTTTGCCAATTCCCTCCACAAGGGCCGAAACGGCATTTGGTGGGCAAACGACGCTGTTGGGATAATTGCTAGTATATTGGCACCTAAACTCACACTCACAAATATTTGAAATATCACCACACACCACACTAATTGCCTCATCTTGAAATAATAATCTCCCAATGATGGCAAACAGCTGCAAAATTACAGTTGGTGTAAGCCTGATAAGCGCAGGTGAGTGGTGCTTGACTTCACGTATCTGCAGATATCTGCCTACTTTTAAGTGTGTAGGTATTGTATAAGTGGACATTTGTTCGAAATATACAGGGTATCAAGATATTTGGGCTTTCGCCGCCGTTGACTACAAAAGGTGAGTTTTACCCTAGTGGGTACATTCAAAAAATTGTAATGCTGCAACTAGACTTCGGAGAAAAATGCTTTATATCGCAATCAGTAGAAGACACTTTGTGCTATATGCCCTAAAGGTTTCCAATTCATAGCCGCGTTTTTGGAGTTTTGGCGATTTTTTGAAATAGACTTGGATTTATGCAGCGTCGCTTTTCTGTTAAGAGATAGATACCTTTAGAAATCAGAATGCAAAAACTGTGCTTAAAAGATACATGCCTTGGAAAGAAATAAATAGAAAAAAAATCTTTGCGTTATGTGCTCTGAAAGTTGCAAATTTACAATGCAGATTGTGGAGTTTTAGCGAGTTTTTTAAATAGTCATGAAATTTTCTGCGCGTCTTTTTCAAGTTAACAGATACTGCAAAAAATCATCATGCAAAAACTCTGCTCACCAGGAAGGAGCTTTCTGATGTAGTGGTTAGAAGGAACTTTGCTTTATATGCCATAAATGTTGCAAATTTGTACCGTGGTTTGTCGATTTTTCATAAATTTTTAAAACAGCCTTGGAATTTTCCGCGCGTTTCTTACGTTAACAGACAATCCAGAAAACCATTGTGCAAAAACTGCCCAAATGAGAGACACTTTATAGAGTGGTCAATAGAAGATAGCTTTACGTTATATGTTTTGAAATTTGCAGATTTATAAGATAGATCTGGGAGTTTTCGCGAATTTTTGAAATCGTCTTGCATATTCCCGCGCGCTTTGTTCGTTAACAGACTTTGAAAAAGTCATTTTATGCAAAAATTTTGTGCAAAAAATAAAGACATTTTATACAGTAGTAAATAGAAGCTACTTAGCGTTATATGCACTGAAAGTT